TTGTAACATCTGGAAGTGTTAAGCTCTGACTCGTTACGGTCTAACCGGAATCCTGGTTCATTTTGAATAGTTTCAAACTTTGCATAACCTTTGATTCATTCGTAAAAATGAACTGTCTTCCATGTTTTAACTTGGTCGCGGGTCATCACCATCCAAACAACAAACAAACTCCATTTTTTCCGGGATGGTTTAAACATTACGGCTAGTTGCTGACGCTTGGATGACTACTATTCACATGAAGGTCACGTTCTGACGTTCCTTATTTACCGCGCATAACTCTAAGAAAACCGCACACGGCAGCACAATTTGTGACTGTAAAGATGGTTGGTGCTTGCCCTTCCCTTGTGACGAATAACACTCGACCTTAGGTTTTGGCCGGCTAGAGCTGAGAGCATCTACAACCGATCTGATCCGTCAATCATTCATTTGGGGTAAGTGAATGAGATCCTCAGTGTTTTGCATGGTTTTTGTTATAAGTGGTTGTTTAAAGCACAATTCCAAGAAGGTTAATTGATCAGCCGATTTCTTCTAATCGACGGTCTTTTGTGTCCAATATGGAAAATGAATAAATAGGTAACAAAAGTTCTGTTTGCCTTGTGTCCCTTTGGAAGTAACATTCGGACGATACTCGAAAGGCGTGTAGATATTAGCACATCACATGTAAATCAATTTCCGACGGACATTCAGGTAAACATATTTGCGTGCTCTGGTCACGAATAGTTGTTGATCACTCGAAGCAAATACCCACCTAAAACATCGGTATCGCTTTGTACAATTAACAAGTAACACGTGATAGGGTGATCTCGTTTTATCGCTCCCCTGTCACATAGCTGCAAGTGCGGTCTACAGCACTTTTATGTCTGAAACAACGTGATCAATCAGGAAACCCAAAGCCTCGCCAAAGTCCTTGTGGTCATTAATTACAGGCTGAAGAGGATCAATCATAGCCAGTTCGACGGAATCTGGGATATGGACCATCCGAAACAAGCAAAATGTAACATTTTTGACTGCGTTGTCACATCTTGGATTCACTCAGGCTTTTTTGCGTCAGGCATTTCCTAACTTGGTGATTTTGGGGTAAAAAAGGAATGGATAAAAAAGGGTGGACATTCCTATCAAACAATGGCTACCGAGAAAATCTGCTACCTAAACCGACAGATTTATCCATAAGTCAATCACACACAGAACAAGGAAAGAAGCCGCCTATTTACTGCGCGCTTTGTGGAGCTGCACAGAAGGGCACAGTTTTCAACAGTCCGGAGAAAATTTATAAACCTGGAGACTGATTTAACAAAGGCAGATATCTGGTTGAAGGCCTAGTTAATCGAGCTTGTCAGTCTGTGTAGGTAACAAGTGAAACATCCTGCGGTGTACAAGCGGAATGTTCAGCCACGCATTTTTCATCTGCATGGGGCTTTGTTATGTCTGCTGATTCGCCAATCCATGGTATTGGCTGCTAACCCGCTCCAGTGATTAGTTGCCCAAAAATGACTCACAGAAAGGAACACATCAGCTATATTCCGAACAAGCATGTGCGAGAGAGTGAGTGCGTGTGAGTGCGAGTGCGAGTGCAAAAGTTACAACTGCTCTACGCTGTTTAAACGGGACTTTCTCGCGTTG